CTCTCTCTCTCTCTCTCTCTCTCTCTCTCTCTCTCTCTCTCTCTCTCTCTCTCTCTCTCTCTCTCTCTCTCTCTCTCTCTCTCTCTCGGAATTCAATGCCCCTAGCCCATACCGGCCCACACCACAGCCACAGCCACATCTGCGGCGGAAAGGCACTCCCTCTGGTGCTGTGACCATCTTGCTGAAACCATTGGGATGGAATAATAGGATGGTCTTTGAACCATTCCTGTTTTATTCGGTTCTAGTTCCAGCAGCTCGCAGAGGCCAGTGCTATTCAGATCACTCTCAGGCTGCCCTCCGATGAGGATTGCTGTGTAACATCAGAGAGAGGAGTGATTATAATAAGATCTGACGGCGTGCCCGACATCTTCATTCCTTCCCTCTTCACTTCCTTCCTTCCCCTTCACCCTGCATCTTTCTTTACTGATTGATTTGCTCAACAGATATACTTGGCGCTCTAGGCTTCGTGCCAGGTGCGGGGATTCAGAGAGAAGAGATCCAGTGCCTTCCCTCAAGAAGCTCATTCTCTAGTTGGGGAGACTAGACAAAGGAACCCGAGATTTCTGGAACAATGGGAAGGTCTTCCAGGCAGAAGCCGGCACAGCACGTTCAGAGTCATGGGGCCTGGGCAGAGCAAGGACATTCAGGAACCAGCTGGAGCAAGGGGAGTGGCTAGCGTGGCCACCTAAATGAAGGCCTTTGGGCTTCAGCCCGTATCAGTCAATCAGGTCCTATTGATTCTACCCCTTAATATCTCTCCTCTCCATCCTCGGCCATTGCCCTATTCAGACACTGATCATCTCTCACCCAGGCAGTACCTGCTGCCAAACCATCACCATTCTGCTGCAAGAGTTGATTTCCATGGTTCCTATTTGATGACACTCTTTACTTGCTCAAAACCCTTCGCAGGCCAGAATTCCAGTCAACTGGCAAGTGAAGGCCCATCCAGGTTCTGGGGATACCAGCCATGGGGATGTTATTGCCTGGGAACACAGCACTGGTCTCTTCTCACCCCAGTGCTGGTGCTGGGGGCGGTCTTTTCCTTCCTGTTATCAACATGTATGGATATCCAGTCTCTACCCTGCGGGTGTTTTTATGACTAAGGGGCAGGGAGGTGGGTCTATTTATTTACTTAGGTCAGAGAAGGATGGTTTGCCAAACAGGGCAGTAGGAATGAGCTACACCAAGTCATTCCCACCCCATCCCCCACCCTCGACTCCACCACAAGCCGCGGCTGGTCCTCAGCTGGGCCACCTTCCAATGCAGCCCTGCCTCTGCACTGACTTCTCTCCTCGAGCCTCCTCCAAATAATCCCCGCCAGGACCCACCCCTACCCTCATGGCCGCTCTCTGGGCAGGGTCCACATACACTTTCCTGCCCCCCACCCACTTCCAAATGTTTAATATGTGGACAAACTGTGAGCCATTCCGCTCAAGGGCTTTGATGTCTGTTATGCCAAGCAAGCAAACAAACAAACAAACATAACACAACACAAACGTATTGTCCTCTCAAAATCTGGCTCACTGCAAAACAAGCTGCTTGGTTTTCCCAGCTACAGTTCTGAAGGAGGTCTCCAGACCCTGCTGCAGAAGACAGAAGGTACATGCAAACATTTTCTCTTGCATTCCAACAGGGAAGGAAAATACTAACCATCTTGAGGCAGTGCCCAAAAACGAAAAAGAAGAAAAGGAAAAAAAGCACACTGGTGTTATGGGGCCAGTTACTGTTCTCACAGCTTCAGTCTTCTCTTCTGTAAGACTGGAATCAGGCTGCTGTGTGGATTAAAGATGTAAGAAAGTCACCCAATTAGTATAGGAGCTAATTAATAAATAGCAGCTATTGTTAAGAAAAATTATTTAGGGTGGGAAGGGAGACTGGGAGTTCAAAATTTGTAGATACTGACAGGCATATGCAGAATAGATAAGATTATATGGTATAACACAGGGAAATATATACAAGATCTTGTGGTAGCTCACAGCGAGAAAAAGTGTGACAATGAATATATGTATGTTCATGTATAACTGAAAACTTGTGCTCTACACTGGAATCTGACACAACATTGTAAAATGACTATAACTCAATAAAAAAGATGTAAAGAGAAAGAAAAAAGACAAAAAGGAAAAATTATTTAATTATTGAAAAAGAGAGAGGAAACCATGGAGAGTGGCAAAGTACTCCTACCCTGAAAAAGAAATATATGAGAAAAAAATCACTGGGTCAAGGCTGAGCTCAGTCACCTGTTCCAGAAGCCCCTCCTCCCCACCAGAGAGCTGATCTCTAGAACCCAGATGCACGTCTGTGTACCAGGGTGCCCTCCCCCAACACTTGACTGGACTTGTCCCAAGCAGGGGGAGTTGACTGTACTCTGAGCCGTGGGAAGGAAGTCTGTTCCGGAACCAGAGTGGACAGGAAGGGGCAGGAGTCTTAGAGCTGGCCCCTGCAGGGTGTCTCCTGGTGGGTTCAAAGCCATCTGACAAGGGTGGGGAGCCACTCCAGAGCCTTGAATGAAGATGAGGCCCCCCTGGTCTGAGAAGACTTTCTATTTATGCTAGAGTGAATCTGGAAGGACCAGAGGCACTGAGGAGAGGTGGCTTCTCTGGCCAGTCAAGCCAGTCAGCTCAACACTGTGGATGCAGGAGTCAGCAGATGTTACAACCAGATCAGCCTCCTGTCTGTGGTGCAGAGAACCAGGCTCCCTTACCAGCCACAAGGAGCCTTGGGCCAGTCCTGGTGATAGAAATGGGCGTCACAGAACCCCCCACACCAGACTCAGCCTTGTGAGCCTCCGGCTGCCCATCCCCTTCCCCCCAGCTCCAATTCCATGCTCATCAAACAACCATTA